GCAACCCAGAGCACGGACCGTGGAAACCTCTGTCCGTGGCATCAGAACACCATTACCCGGAGACAGGATGGCGCCCTGCCCTGGGCTGCTAACCACTAGGTCAAACCCAGGCCCCGCCCTTGGAAAGGGGAGGGGCCTGCAGTTCCTGCAGGCTCATGGAGTCGAGCCCAGCAGTGGTGCTGGGCCTGGACTTTTATTGGGTGGTCCCACTGGGGGATGGAGCTGGTGAGGGTGAGTGTGACGTCCCTCTCCCTGAACTGTGTGGATGAGCAGCAGGGAAGAAGCCAGGTACCACGTGGCAGTCACCAAGGGCCCAGGACCCAACACTCAGAGACCAGGGCCAACAGGAAGGGGGGACAGTGAGAGCGCCCTCCCCTGGAGCTGGCCCCCCACCCCAGCAGTCCCATCTCCTGGCTGTGCGAGGAAGCCCCCGTGTGTCGCATGCACATCTGTCCCAGCAGACACCACGGTGAAGGGGTGCTTGCTCACTCGGATCACGGAAGGCCCTCAGCACAGGCCAGCCATGGCCGTCGATGGGCTGCCACAGGCTTTCTGGACTTTGGCATGGGGTAAAAGGTTGTGGATGGGGAAATGGCCCCAAGGCCCATCGGAGACCTGTCGCCTGCCCCAAGACTGTGGCGAGGAGTGGATTCAGCCGCACAGGGACAGAGCAGACCTATCATCCGCACAGGCAGTCTCCTGTCTCCCCTGGAGCAGCTGGGGCTGGAACAGCCGGCCCTGCAGCAAGCCAGCCACCCAAGCTGCTCCCACAGAGGGGGCAGGGGGGTGTCTGATGACTCGGAGTTGACTTTTACTCACAGGGTCACCCCACACACGCTGGCCTGGCCCTCTACTTCCCTAGGTTGTGGCCTTCTCAGAGAGGGGGGAGTTATAGCCCAAAGCTCCACTCCAGGGCACCAACCCACGTGCCCATGGACACCCTCCTGATGCGAGAAGAGTTTTCTTCCTTAGGCCAGCCCAGGGCAGGGTGTGCCTAAGGCCAATCTGAGACAGGTGAAGACAAGGGCTTCAACAGCTCCTAAAAGATGGCACGGGACTCTAAGTAGTGACCCCACCCACCCCCAATCTCTCTGGGGTCCTCCCGGAAAGCAGGGGTGAGACTTGGGGAGCCAGCACAGTGGCGTGGGGCCACGTGAGGTCTGGCTGGCGCTCCAGAGGGGCAGGGCCGCTGCGAAGGGCGCTACAACGCTGCCTCCAGCCACGGCGGCAACAGGGAAGCCCTGCGGGGCCAGCAATCGTCTGAGCCCCAGCGAGAACAGGCACCCCGTGTTCACCGAAGCTCGATGGCGTAAACAACCGCCATGCCCACCAGAAGCAGAACACATGGACACCCTGGTCTTCATCATGGGGAGGCACAGAGGGGGTGCCGGTCACAGTGACCCTGTGTGCTGCAGGGAGGCACTGCCCACCGCCCAGCACGTGCAGTGGAGGTCTGTGCATCGCTAAGGGGCAATGCGGCAGCTGCCACCACCGCTACGCAACACTGTAGGCTGAGTGGACCGTCTGACCGCCACAACCAGGATAGAAACCAAGACAGTGAAGGGGACCAGCCAAGGAGGCTCCCTGAGAGGGAAGCAAGGAACTAGAAGGCAGAGTGAATGGAGCCCCTGCCCCCATCTGCCCCCCAGGGAAGGAGAAACAGGAGGGTCTGGTGACTGGTCTGACCTCTTGAATGCCGGCGGCTTGTTAGTAGGAAATGCAAGACCCACCCCTGCCCTGGGCCAGCCCCCCTGCACCTCCTTCTCCCGCAGTCGCCTAAGTTAGTATAAAGAGGTCGCTGGAAACCAAACCGAGAACTGCAAAGAAGCAGAGACAAGGACCTAGCCAGGAGGGGACCAAGCAGCTTCCCTGAGAGCTGCGCCCAGGCTAACACCCACCTCCTTCCTCAGTGGGCAGAGCGTGCGGCTGCTGGTTGCGGCCACCCGCTCCAGCATGTGCCCAGTGCACCAGAGGCCAGCTCTCAGGGAAGGAGGGAGGGGTACCAGGTAGGCACAGAGGATGCACTGAAGGCCGGGTCACGGGGACAAACCCTCCCACCATAGCCTGCCACGCAGGAAGGTATCATGCATGTCAGAGCGGGTTTCTAAACCACAGAGCACAAAGCCCACCGAAGGACAAAAAGGGTATTTTGCATATAAAAAGGACACCAGCCCATCTCACACCCTAAATCTACCCTAAACCCTAATCCTAGCTCTATCCCTACTCTAACTCTATCCCTACCCTCGCCATAACTCTATCCCTAACCCTATCCCACTAACCCTAATCCTACCCTCTAACCCTAACTCTATCCCTACCTCCCACCCTAACCCTATTCCTACCCTTAACCCTAGC